GTTTATAATACACTAAAATGTTCTCCAGTGGTTACAGTCCACTACAATGGTCTCCAGTGGTTACAGTCCACTACAATGGCCTCCAGTAGTTACAGTCCACTAAAATGGCCACCAGTGTTTATAATACACTACAATGGTCTCCAGTGGTTACAGTCCACTACAATGGTCTCCAGTGGTTACAGTTCACTACAATGGTCTCCAGTGGTCACAGTCCACTAAAATGGCCTCCAGTAGTTACAGTCCACTAAAATGGCCACCAGTGTTTATAATACACTACAATGGTCTCCAGTGGTTACAGTCCACTACAATGGTCTCCAGTGGTCACAGTCCACTAAAATGGCCTCCAGTAGTTACAGTCCACTAAAATGGCCACCAGTGTTTATAATACACTAAAATGTTCTCCAGTGGTTACAGTCCACTACAATGGTCTCCAGTGGTTACAGTCCACTACAATGGCCTCCAGTAGTTACAGTCCACTAAAATGGCCACCAGTGTTTATAATACACTACAATGGTCTCCAGTGGTTACAGTCCACTACAATGGTCTCCAGTGGTTACAGTTCACTACAATGGTCTCCAGTGATTATAGTCCACTACAATGGCCTCCAGTGGTTACAGTCAACTAAAATGGTCTCTAGTGGTTACAGTCCACTACAATGGTCTCAAGTGATTATAGTCCACTAAAATGGCCTCCAGTGGTTACAGTCCACTACAATGGTCTCCAGTGATTATAGTCCACTACAATGGTCTCCAGTGATTATAGTCCACTACAATGGTCTCCAGTGATTATAGTCCACTACAATGGTCTCCAGTGATTATAGTCCACTACAATGGTCTCCAGTGGTTATAGTCCACTACAATGGCCTCCAGTGGTTACAGTCCACTAAAATGGTCTCCAGTGGTTATAGTCCACTACAATGGTCTCCAGTGGTTATAGTCCACTACAATGGCCTCCAGTGCTTACAGTCCACTGAAATGGCCTCCAGTGGATACAGTCAACTAAAATGACGACCGCCAGTGGTTATGATTCACTAAAATGACCGCCAGTGGTTATGATTCACTAAAATGACCGCCAGTGGTTATGATTCACTAAAATGACCGCCAGTGGTTATAAAACACTACAACGGCCACCTTCGATCCGAACTCAGGACCAAATAATTATTTTACGATGTATGATTTGTTTTCAACGACAACAAAATCATAAAGTATAAACCCAGCTTTATGCAGAATGACAAGAATGAACAAACATAATACCTGCTGATCAATCGTTGTTACTTGATATTGTTGGAACTAGTACAGTTCACTACGTTCCATGTTTTATCATTTCTACTAGGTCTTGTATAAAGTATAAAACAAATCCTCCTCATCTTTCGAGGAATAATATCATTTTGTTTGAAAACTATAAAAAGCTGGAACACCATTCATTTTTCACAACTGATAGACAACAACAACAGCACTTTTGAGTGCCATTGCATATTTACTGCTGCTTCACACACAACACATTTAGCTGACATGCAAACAAATGGTGATGTAGAGGCATTTGAACAAGCAAGGGAGATGTGTTTGTCAGAAATGGAGGGTAAAATGACATTTTGAGTAGAGAGGAGGGCTAGTGGGAGGATATTAAGAGGAAATTCAACGGAGTTCCATCCATCTTACCTGTGTTTTCAACGTTGGTGGAAAGGCTGGGCGTGACACTGGGCTTCTGGCTGCTCTGAGACCAGCTTTCTATAAAATACACAAAAACGTATATCACCAGCAAACAGATTAGAAGCATTTCTTCACTTTTATACCAGTGAGGCAGGATACAATTCGAATGTACAGATGAGAATGTTAGAGTTCTGGTTAAGGTTGCTCTGAAAGCCAGTAGCAGATCTGTAACAGTCTGGGAATTTCAAGAATTATAGCATGGTACTGTTACCTCTGAGAAAACTGCTCTGGGTGAGAACCCATTATATGAACATGGTCAGACTGCTGATTGCTTAGCATACCATAATCACTCTTTTCCACTAGACCATACAGTGCAGCACACTGTGGTTACAAACATAAATCCAGAGCTATCCCCATTTTGGTCAAGTACCTGTGTTCATTTCCCATGAAAGTGGAAGCAGTTCTCTAGACGTGATGGATGAATAGATTTTCTTTGGTACAAAAAACAAACAACAACAACAACAATAACAACAAAAACCCGAGGCATATCACATATTTGATGCTAACCCTCAGAGGTATATGCCTATTTTGCTTGTTTTGGATGGCCAGTACGAGTGTAATCATGATTCAGTTCCATTCACGATATGTTATGATTCGAATGTCAACCTAGTTTTTTTTTAACAAAATTTAAATGAAACAAAATTATGACAGCGAAGAGGCTCCTGTTTTATTTATGCATCATAAACAATGCAAAACAATGCGCATTTTTGTCGGGATAAAACTTATTAAATCTAAATGTTCGACAGACTTTTAGAGCTCCAAAGGGGGTTAAAATGCCGTACTTCCACGACTTCGTTCTTGGGCACTGTAGATTTCAGTGACACAGGGCTAGTGTCGTTTAAAAGCTGCTGAAAAGATTTTGCATACATCTGTATGACACAACTTTCCATAGATATACTCCTGAAATTCTCAAATAAACATTGAGAATCTGAAGATCAAGTGGAAGATCTGGTGTTCTGTAATGCGATGGCAGTGAATTCATGGTGCTGCTGCTCGCTACTGACATAAGATGAACTAATCAAGAAAGATTGTTGTAAACCTAGTCCAATGGGCGGAATTACGTTTGAAGAGTAAAGTATTGGCGCCCATAGTGTCATTCGTAGGCGCCAATACTCAGCAAAGCAGAACATGGTTTACATGCAAGTGTCAGGTCTACATTTCACCACAAAGGTGAGTTTTACTCACGCAACTCACACACAAGTCACACACAACTCGGTTCAAACAGATCAGATTGACATCTTGTCTTCCCAACCTCCCTGCCCTTCGCACTATCCGGGTCAGCCCGATAACCGGATAGAACCCCTGCGCCATGTTGATTAGGACGCGTCCCACCACCTCCCTTTGAACCCTGCACGAGCAGTTGATGGTCTCTTTAAGAGCGATCTCTGCTGCAGCACTTTCATTCACACCTCCGCTTTAAAGACGTGTCGGCTTGGGCATGTGCGTTTGCTGATAGGTGTCTGCGCACGGGAAGAAGAAAACGAGAGAAGCAGAAAAAAAGGCAAGGGAAGTGAAAGACAGGACGAGATGTGGAGGTGAAGTCGTTATGAAAGCAGGTGCAAAAGACAGAAATGAGGAGAGAGTCAGACAGGGAAAGATGGAAACAGTGATGTAGGGATGAAAAAGGGTTGTATTTTTTAAAAGTGCTGATGCAGTATGTATGAGAACGTATAATCTGAGTTGGAAAAAAAATATTTATTCCTTTTTTTTTTTTTTTTTTTAAAGGAATATATCCTTAACGCTAAGATTTCTTACCACAAATATTTTCTTTTTATAATCCATATCAGAACAAAAAATAGAGAAACCCTTTCCATTTTGGTCATCCAGAAATTGGCCTCATCAACCCTGTATAAATCTGTTTAAACCCTGTATATTGGGTTTGTACCTGGCTTGTCTTGGCTGGTGCTCAGGTCAGAGATCGGATCGGCGTTAGCTTGGATGCAGTACACCTCCCTGGTCTGCATCCCGCCTCCACACAAACCCGTCAGGTTGGAGCGACGTCGGTCCTGCTGGCTGAGCAACATATCCACGCGACACTCCGCCCACTCTGTGGTCCTCCAGGTGTAGCTGATGAGGTCATGTGACAACCTGGTTACTATCATTTTATCTACAGTAAGGGTTTATCCAGACAAGTAAGGGTTATTCAGAAAAACCCAAAATAACGTGTACATAGTTAGTACGTCCATAAAAAGAAGAGAGTATGATCATTTACGTCGTAGCTAAGTCAATAGCTAGCAAAACAGTCTGCAAGTTAATTGGCTGATTTCCAGACCAGCAAATGATCAGATCTGCAAGACTGCAAGAACCTCGAAATGATCATTTTATTCAAATCTACGTAGCTCTGATTTATGTGACACTATATGTCAGCTGTCATGATGTTCTCACATAAGTTAGCCCAGAAAGTGTCATAACACGTTATATCACCTTACGTCACAAAAGTCAAGGTTATGTCAAATTGACAAAACGCATGATACCTAGTGGAATAGCATTTAGAAATGTTTACGCATGTGTATATATTTGGTATTAAGTGTTTATGGAAGTGTTGTGTAGCCTTATGAACACTGATCGCTGTTAGTGAAGTGATGAGTCTGATCACACCGTCTGGACTGTTTTTGTATATTCAGGTATCAGTTAGTGTCAGGCTTCGTAGTGGATGCTCACATGGCACAGGGTGGGACGCTGTCTCCCAGTGGCTCGCACAGCTGGCTTTCCTCCAGCACCGGGCACTCGGCTCCTCCGCCCACCGGGAGCTGCTGGATGTCCCTGCTGCGGGTCCGGATGCCTGTCGGGGTGTCTGGGTCGGCACACGTCTTCGAGCAGGGAGTCCACTCTGCCCAATCGCCCACCATGCAATCTTTAGGCATCAGGCATGGTCGATGAAGGTCGGGGAGATTCCAGTGGGGGCACTGACTATATCGACACACACAAACCGGTACAGTGGGAGTAGTGCAAGGAGGGTGGCGTCTTCTATCACACCCAAGCCTTCTACTCCAGGCCAAACCACAAACTCAGCATCCGGTTCTTCCAGATTATACCCTTTCCCATCTTAAATGGTGACTATTACTGACCGATATACTGTAATAGATACAGTTACATAACATTCCTTGCTTACAAACATCTGGAAGAAGTCTTTATTTGTCACATGTACATTACGGTACAGTGAAATGATTTATTTTTTTTTTTGCATGACCCAGCTTGTTGTTGGGGTCAGACCACATGGTCAGCAATAATACAGCACCTCTGGAGCAGATATGGTTAATCGCATTGCTCGAGGGTAAAACAGTGGCCGTTTATCATTGCTGGGAATTGAACCCCAGACCTTCTGATCAGTAACCCAGAGACTCAACCACTGAACCACTACTGCCACTGGATTATTTCTTCATAATGAGATTATTCTTTTAAAAAACGAGTATACTCTTCTTGTTCCAAAATGGTTTGACTTCGCACTTGAGAGGAAATTCGTTCCAAGGATGATCCCTGTGAATATAGATTTATTTCATATTTCTTTACGTGATTTGATCTGCCAATTATCCGTTAGTCAACACGTAGCACTTAGCATTAATCACTATGCCGATCCGAGCACAAGTAACCAGACATGTTTGGTCGAATTACCGCCAATCGCGTAACGCTTCTGAAGATTGAGAAACTAATAATTTAGTGTAAAATTGCAGCGTTTTATCTTTTTTTTTTTCTTTTTTCTTTTTTTGGCCTGTCTACACTGTCCAGAGGCGAAGCGGCGGCTGGGCCATTAGAGTTAATTACAGACTGCATTAAATGCAGTGTAGCGTCATTTAGCATTCTTGCATTTAGCTGTCACTTGTGCCGCACATAGCTTAAGCAAGAGTTCAACTCTGAGCTCGATTTCTGTCCAAATTAAAAATAAACCCCCCAAAAAAACCCTGTCCAGCAAAAAAGACGGAATCAGATCAAAAGAAGTTAGAGCCGAACGTTTGGAGGAATATCGGCAAGAGTCGTCGGGAAGAATATTGGCAAGAGTCGTGGAGCAATTACTTCAGAGGAAGGTTTGTTCCGGTTTTGAGAAATGGCAAAAACAAGTATGAATATTATCAGAGGAAGAAGAAGAAAAAAAGAAAAACTTAAAGAAGAATATTTATGCATCTGGGTAGCGTGTGGGTCATTTTCACGGTTCCTTTTTGAAATATTATATTCCTGTCACAGCATAAAAGGACTGAGGAGCCGCGTTTTGTACGTATTTACATATGACTGACTTACTTAATCTAAAAAGACTTTGGATAATAATTGGTGCGCTGTTTGGTTATTGTTTTACAGTTGTTTCCGTGAAATCGTGTGGTTTCGTTTTTTTGTTTTTTTTGCCTCAATAACGACACCTCGGTGTGTAAAAGAAAGCATGTCAGAGTCTCCTGTACTTCAGTCACATCAAAAGAAAGCACCAATAGATCAATCTCAAAGGGACGAGGCATACATTTAGTGTGTGTTTGTGTGTGAGTGTGTATGCTATCATATCTACACACATATTTGAGGCAAAATATTTACCGTTACTCTACGCAGTTGTCACTAGACTTCACCAGACTTGTCACTAGACATCATCGGATATCTTGGCCGTGCAATATCGTGTAAAGGTTATTAAAATGTTACATAACCCAAGCCACAAGCCATACAAACCCCTCCCCCCCCCCCCCGCCTTTCTGTCTTATAGAGACGCTTTGATACCATTGTAAATGTAAAAGCTGGCACATAAAATACTGTTGACTCGACTCTAGTCTTTTCGAACACAGCTGGCCTCACGAGCTCATACATGTCACGAAGGCGGGCGTGTATAGAGTTGTCATCGGCGTGGCAGAAAATAGGCATCAGAGAGAGAAAGTACGATGCTTTGACAACCTGCTAGAAAACAAGAGAGAGAGAGATAGAGTGAGAGATAGAGTGAGAGAGAGAGAGAGAGAGAGAGAGAGAGAGAGAGAATGGTTCCCTGCCTGTCATCCTTCATGACAGAGGTGAGGGGGAAAAAAATAGCTACAGAGGCACTCACAGACGTTGAAACTGCTCTTAGCTCCCAAAAGTGGATGCCAAGTCTAAATAAATTGCTCACTCGGGAGGTTTTTTGTTTTTTTTTCCTGTCACAGGACAGAATGAGATCGTTAAATAGCGCAGTGCATTTGCAGATGAGAAAAATAAACCTGGAGCTACATAATAATTGAACGGTCATTAATTCTGCAGTTAGAAGTGAGATTTCAAGGCAACACAATCGCAAAATGGATTTTAAAACACTCGATATACTGTATCTTCCGTAACGTGTTATATAAATATATATAGTTTGTTTGCTCTGGAGCTAGCACTCAAATTTATATATATATATATATATATATATATATATATATATATATATATAATGTAAATTGTACCGTAGAGACATGGACACAAAGCGTAAATAGCATTGCTCAGCACATAGCATTTTTTACAATTTTTAAACATAGCAGTGAAAACAAATGGTCGTACTCATCATTCGCAGGTCAAGTTTGGGGATTACGGAGTGGAATGATTTCGGAAAAAATACATTCCTGTTGTCTTTCGCCTGGATGTGGAACAAATATTTACAAATATTGACGATGGAATACTGATAGGAAGGTTGTGAGTTCAAATCCCAGCACTGCCAGGCTGCCACTGCTGGGCCCTTGAGCGAGGCCCTTAACCCTTGTATGCTCAGTTGTATAAAATGAGCTACATGTAAGTCGCTCTGGATTACGGCGTCTAAATGTATGCGATTTTGGGTTAAACAGACTTCTATTACTTGTTAACTCTGGTGCGAAACCGAAGAAGGAAAAGTCAGGTATGAAATATGTCCTGGCTGACATTTGGAATAAAAGAAAGATCGTGCTATTAGAGTTCTTTACCTGAGAGGCACGGTGCTGCCGTTGCGGTGCACACAGATGACCTGTCGAGCCTGGTATCCCAACTCGATGCCCCACAGGCTGCTCTCCTGCCGGTTCAATTTGTTGCGGGTCCGTTTGCTCTTGATGAGCTCGCGTGTCTCTGGGTCCCTGACGCCCTGCCGTTCTTTACCTTTCCTGCGTCGAGCTTGGCGTGTAACGCGAGGCGGCGAGACAGAAGAAGTAGTAGGTGGTGGCGCAGGATGGAGGCGGCACTCGGTCCAGGAGCCCAAACGCAAGTTGAAGACCATCTCCCTGCCCTCACAGTGCCTTGGCGCGCATGTCCGGAACTCTGTAAGGTTGGGACATGGTATGCCTCCGAACAGCGGCGGTGCCAGGACAGAGCGGGCGCGATTCTGCAGCCCCAAACCGCACGTCTTGGAGCAGGACGTCCACGGGCTGAATTGCGACACCACGCAGTCCCTTGGACACGGAATCAGACAGGCCTGTTCAAGCCGTGGCCTCGGCTCAAAGTACTCGCAGATGGAGTCATCGGCTGGAGAACCGTCGGTTCTCAGCACGCAGCTCACCTCCCGCGTCTGGATTCCTGCCTCGCCGTGTAAACAGTGCCCACTGCCTCCTGAGTGCTGTGCTGAAGGCGAGCACCGGTTCCAGGAGCCAAGCTGCCAGTCATACAGCTCGCGGTGCCAGTCACAGACACGGAAGCAGCTCTGCTGGTTGGCCGGGCGTGACGACTGCTGGCAGTTGGTGGGAAGCGTGGTCCAGCCTTCCACATGGGCACACCACACGGCACGGCTCTGACTGCCACCCGGGCCACACTCGCTGCCCATACACCTTCCCCAAGGACCTGAGGAGAAACGGACCAAAGAGAAGCGTCAGAGTTTCACCCAGTGTAAGACACTTATGTACATTTTCTCAGATTCTAAAAGAAGAGAGATTTTGGTTGTGATATCCGACGTCACTTTTACCACCGTATGACTCGAACATACCGAACGTGCACTGAGCTACAAAGTCAGATGTCACAATGCTCTAATGTCAGCCTGGTAGAATAAGCCTTTATAAATGTTTGTTTATGTTTGTCTTCATGTAGCCTTTATGTAGCACCATGAACACAGTAGGCCTACATTGTTACTAGAGAAATTTGAACATTTCAGAGGATAAAAAATACCATGGAGATTTCATGTAGCCTTATGTAAATGAAGTGTTACGTGATTTAGATAAATAAATAAATAAATAAATTGTCAATAGAGAAATCATGGCAAGCACAAATTGCACTAGCACAAAAGGCTTAAAAGTGTTAAACACAAACACATATGTATTTACAAAACCAGCAATACATTAAAAGAAATCGCTCTCATTGTGTCAGCTAATTTCAACAGTTTACATCTATTTTTTTTTAGCTGATCTTGCATGCCCTTGATGTAGAACTTGAGCTGTGTTAATAAAACAAAGTTGAATGTGGGTGTCTTAGCGGCGCTCCTTTATATTCTCAGCGCAGTCGTCTAATGCGAATGCTGAGCGAGTAATGGGCTGAAATTAGTCACACTTTAATTATAGCTCATTACCTGATGCCTTGGAAGACTGGCAGCTGAAATGCGCCTGAAATTCTGAGTGCAGAACGAAGTCTCTGTGAGCAGAGGACACGATCGTTGGGGGAAAAAGGAGCATAATTGCTAAGAGGGATTTTTTTTGTGTGTGTGTGTGTGTGTGTGTGTGATGACAAGCTCATTTGTTTTTGGAGTGGTCCCCCCGACCCCATCCTAACATGTTGCGCAGGGATAAATATACGTTTCTAGGGAAATTTAAGTAGCACTATGAAAACGCGAACGTAAAACACGACAATGTTCTCTGATTAAAGAGTATTTGCTGTAAGGTTAGCCTTCTCGTATATGATTTTTGATTTTGCCTAAACCCGTACCAAGACAACCTATCCAATATGACCTGATCGTTCTATTCTCACTGAAACATAATGTACTGAGTCAGCACACTGGAACCCAAAACAGATAAAAAGCAGAAAATCAGATTTACGAACTTGTGGGGGTTTTTTGTTTCATTGTACACACAGTACATGACAGAAAAAGACAAATTCTAATAAACGTAATAAAAGTCCTGTGAACGGTTTTGGAGAACAGAAAACAAACCTAATATATACGTTTAACCTACCATGAAGTCGTTTACGTCATTACGCCATTCAACATCAAGAGTCTGATTGGCGACCTCAAAAAGTCAAATAATATAATCAATAACACAATCAAATTCAAATGTTACTGAGACAGAAATCCAGACATCTTACATCACCAGTAACAAGTACATCTTGGTCTGTACGTTCTACATTTTACTGTAAGATCACTGAGTTCTGAGGAAACTTTCTGTCATCTTCAACCCAGTGATAATGAAGAGCAACTGAGAAAAATAATTACACAACATGCTTCCGCATACTGCTAACACATCACCCTCTTCCTTCTTCTCCTCCTCCTCCTCCTCCTCACCCCTG